CAGAAAACCTTATTTCAAATTATATCATATGCCTGGATAAAATCACAGAAGATGAAGTATAACCACATTAATACCAACATACTGGGAGCTTTCTGGAGACTTTCCCCCGAGGTTCAGAAAGTAAACTGTCACTTGAGATCATCACGCTACTCCGCAGAGAACACAAAAGCACGACTAACTCTCCCTGTCACAACAAAGCACCGCTCTCCTTTAGATATCGGCGAGTGTTTGGACAGGAAAAAAATAGAATACATTTAAAAGACATTCCTGCTACGGAGAGAAAACGCAGAGCTTGCAGATTAGACACACAACTGTCAAGAGAAATCTGCTTGTGGCAGTGCATGTGGACAAGATGTGTAGAAAATAAGTGCTGTCCAGCTGTTGGTCATAAATTCTGCAGAGAACAAAAAGTATTATTGGTACTTCAGAAACCTAATTTAACGATACAATCTTAAAATGCAGTAATCATCGCTGCAGTTTCTTGTAGTTTTGAATTGGACAAAATGTTATCCTCTTCTCTTGTATCACAGCCAGAAGCTCCTTCCATCCTCAGAATACCTTCAGCACTGAAACCAGCCCTCACGTCATGCAAAGGTAAATCTCTTCCTATCAGTGCTTCAGATTAGTGGCATTTTGTCTTTTGGCAAGACTGACCTTAAGAAAAATACTTTACTACATTGCAGCCCACTCAGGAAAAGAATTGCTCTGATTGATTGTTTAGTCAATAAGCGTGTAGTTGTCCCCTGAGGGCCCATTCATCTCATCTTAGCACAGTTGAAGGCTAAGGCACACTGAGGGGGGGGGGTGTAACTGTATGCTACATCCTGTGCAGAAACACAACACAGTGTCCAGGACAAACCCAGTTACTGAAGTACAGTTGCTGCAGGGTGTGAATAGTAACTCATTAAAATACATCTTATGTTGGAGCCTCGTCGTGTTAAACCCTCTCTACAAATCATAAAGGCCCTCAGGGAGTGCAATCAATTCTGGAGATGAATGGGAATTCAACGCATGACTTGGAAAGCACTCATAAAACCCAATGAGCAATTTCAAAACAAATTAAGTGACTGCCAACATTAGTCTTAGCCTGGATAATGACTCTCCAAGAGGCAAATGCCCACTGCGCAAAAGTGTGCCTACTTTTTGAGTGATTTGGAATAAACTAAGTGTTTAACTTATAGCTTACCTTGATGAGTTTGCACCTGATTTGCGCGGACACCATATGGCTGTTCCGCAGGTTCCCCACTCGGAACATGAGGCACAACTTCCCGTCCCGCTGCGAAATGACTGCTTCCTGGCTGAACATCAGCGTCTCTGCGCGCTTCTTCGGCTGCGACATCTTGATGAACATGCATCCGATGAGGAAGGCGTCCACGATGGAGCCCAGCAGCGACTGGAAGAGGAAGAGTATGATACCCTCCGGGCACTTTTCAGTGATGTAGCGGTAGCCGTAGCCGATCGTCGCTTCGGTCTCGATGAAAAACAGGAACGCGGAGGGAAAGTTGTACACGTTGGCGACGCACGGGGTGTAGGAGTCTTCGTGGCCGCCGTTGCTCAGGTCGCCCCGGATAAAGGCGATCACCCACCACATTGAAGCCATGACCAGCCACGCGACTGTGTAAGTGAGGATGAAGATGAGTAGGTTCCAGCGCCATTTAAGATCCACCAGAGTGGTGAACAGATCGGAGATGTACCGGCTGGTCTCCCCGCCAAGGTTACCGTGCTGGACATTGCAGCGGCCGTTCTTCTCCACGAACCGCTGCCTCTTCTTCTTCACCTGTGCGGAAAAAGTAATGCCCTGGTTTGTGTTAACCACCTGGTAGTCCTCGCCAAATTTCTTCCGTAAGGCTGCCATTGTTTCAATCCCCTACTTGTGACAAGTGATCGATACTTGTGCAGAATCAGGCTCTTTGCGCAAGTTTGTTCCCCCCCTGCCCAAAATCCATTCAGCGCGCGTCTGGCATCCTGTGAGGTGGAGATGCGCCTCTCTCGTGAAAATTAATCCTAAATGAGCTGAGATTCTGCGCAATACATGATTCAGATTCGGTCCTTTACGCAAAAGAGTCAGCTGCAAGTGCCAACTTTTTCTTCAGTTTTCATCCATGCAGGAAAAATAAACCACCTTCAAAATGTTACGTTTAAAACTAAAGCTGCTTCCAAACAGCTCGATTCAGAGGCTTTGTCCTCGCTGTAACTCAGGTGCTGCTTCAATAGACCTGTGAATGTGAATAGCAGGCTACAGTGCGCACTTCTGCCTCAGGGAACACGCTCTTGTAGGAGTGACTTCTAATCAACGATTGAAGGCGAATTGCAGCACGGGTGGTTTATTCCTCTTCCTCTGGGGGTGGGGCAGCTGATGTGAGGGTACAGAGAGAGATATTGTGTTATGTCTGTGCACAATCAGATGGAAAACAATGCAGCTTGGAAATAAACCATGGGCAGCCTTTTAGTCTTTAATTTAATTTGTTTCCACATTACTTTTAAATGCATTTCCCGATGTCTGATAAGGTGGCTCTTATGGGAAACACTGTACTATTAAATTGGTTAGTCTAAGCCTTGGGTCGTTGGTGGCTATTTAGTTCCCCCTAGTGTTACTGTAGTGGTAGTAAACCTGAGTCAATTACTGTAAATATGGACCACATAATTCTTTAAAGAAAACTAAATGTAATGTAAGTCAGTCTGACAGATTGTGGAGAAATGTATCCAGAAATACACAATTAACAACAATGGGTTACTATAGCCTATAAACACCAAGTCCCTATGAGAATATGATCAACTTTGATATGATTTATCGCCGTTACAGCTATTTACTGCATTTGAAAATGGAATAACTTATTTTCTTTCCAATGAGGGCCTTAATGTGAACAATGTGAAATGTGTTGTCTCTTCTGTAAATGTATTAATAGTAAGATATGTTCATGCCCCTGTAAAAGCAGGTGCTGTAAGAGGAATATCAAGTTTGAATGCATGGACGTTGCAGCATTGTAATTTCCTCTGTCACCATTGTCAATACAATAATCTTACAATGACCTTGCTGTGTTGATTAACTGAAAATAAAGGAGTATGGGGCTGGTAGGAAGAACGGACAGAGTGAGACATTTAGTTGGACTAACTCCAAGGGCAGCAGGAAATTAGTTGTTCAGTTCTAGAAGTGAATACAATATAAGTGGCAATGAAAACCAATTGGAAAAACACTTTTTACTGGATGATTTTGGATTTGGACATAATAAATATGTTGATGTTTTATCAGCAGAGGACATGACACATGCTAATTGAACTGTGCACAAAAAAACTGAATCTCAGCTATTTACTATTTTAAACCTTCATACAATAATATGTGTTTCTAATTGTGTTTTAAGTACAGTATGCTTCCCCTATCAAAAACACTTTACATGACATGCCTTTATACTTGATACAGTATTTCGTAAAGGGTTGCATGATGAGTCAATAATGTTAACCGCCACAGTCATTTTTAAGTGATATTTAATATTTTTGCTTTTAGCTCCCCCGAAGCGCATACCATGAACTCTTGACTGTAAGGCATTAATCTGATATCTGTCAATAACAGGTTGATAACAAAAACTCTTTATTTTGTTAATAAGTAAAGACATGTTTTGCTTCTAGCAGAAGAACATGTAAAGTGCGGTAAACACTGCCTAAACTGCAGGAGAAACACACACAATGTCCTCATTTTCCTAGTTCTAGCTGATATAAAATGTCAAATAAAAATGCATCAGTAGAGAAACGAAAGCTCCCAAGGATTATTATATTAGCATTCGAAATAACCATTTCTACAAAGCCACAAATGTAGTGCCTGAACAATAAAGGAAAAGGACACACTCATAATGCATCACACAACAACACAACATGTTCTATTCAATCTAAGGAAGACAACAGAACAAGGTCAAAATATGAGCCCTGTTCACCCCCATCATCAGTTATTCATGAACATTCACTTTGTGGAGACAACACAAACAAAACAAATGTGATTTTATAATTACATTTTGAAACAGGGATTTTCTCATTGTGCAGATTACCCCTGAACTGATCAATACTATCGTGGAGCCAATTCCCTAATGAAATTAGTCATTAATCAATATCGAAATAAACCAATTCACTGTGAAGATCGTGCTATCGGAATCATACACATAAAAAACAATACAGTCTCATTTGTTAACAAAGTTCAACATTTGTGCATTGGCATTTTTTATTTATCAGCATCCATATTCTTATGAGGTGTTACTATTTTATTATGAATGGAAATGTCCTTTACTTAATTGATTTAATGAATTTACTTTTGCTCTCTGTTTGTAATGTATGTGTTAATAGTATTTATTTACCTATGGTTTTCTAGTTATTTTCATCTACATTTTCAAATTGAATCTTGATTTATGTCTTTTTGCCTTACTTGAAAATCGAAAAAAAGAAAAGGTTATCATTTAAGTACCTTATATATACCTAAATGACATGTTTATTATATAAACCTGACAATTATTGCAACAAAGTAAATGTTACTCTTTGTATAGACAACAAAGGATCCATTGTGAAAGATATTTTCATGATATGTTCTCCTCTTTTATATTTTGCCAAAATCCTTTCAGTACTGCGCATTCCCAAATATACATCCAACCGTTCATCGCATATTTCATTCAACATTAAAGTGATATTGAACCTTTATCTAACATTGAATCTTTCAAAAGGAACCCTGAACAATACATTGTTTTATCTTCCAATTAAACTATTTCCATAAATTGATGTGTGTGGCTTATCATATCCTCCAGTGTCCTTTTCTGAATAATTACATTACATTTAATTTAGGTGTTTTCTGTCATGTCAGCTGTTAACAATCTGTATGTCTGGGAGATATGTGTTTTACTTGGGACGTTTTCTGAATCCTGAATTAAAAAAGATAAAGACTTGCACGACGCCATGTCCCTCCACATTACATGATGTGTTCATGTTAATGTGTCCATGTTGTTTACATTACTATAGTTCACACTCTGTGCTGTCCAGCCTCTCTCTTCCCTCAGCAGACTCCGCCAGCCTGTCTCCTCTCACGACCCGTCCCTACTACACCCATAATTCCCCGCGCCAGGACAAGATGGACGAAAGCAGCGACCGCCGGAGAACAATGTTTTGGCAATAAACCCCCAAAGCGGCGAGGACGGAGAGAATACAGGCACGTTTTAACCAACTGCGGTCATGTGTAGGTGAGTGGGAAACGAAATAGTATTTTATTTGTGGTGAATGCTTAAGCTTTGTCGAGATTTTACCCGACGGAATTGTGAGACGGTGAGATGCACCGAGAGCCAGCATCATTGTTTCTGTTGCATGGGCCGTAATGCGGGTTTTCATTCTGGGCAAGCTAGCAGCTAACTAGCTAGCTCATGGCAGCTTGATTGTTATAAACACAGCTGCTTCAAAGCATACAGTTTTGTTTAGCACTGGATATCAAGTCCACGTGTACAGCAGTCGCCGAGGAATGTGTTTGGTAGCTAAATGTGTTGGTAAGGCTTATCCTGGAGCAATTACAGCTAAAGTTAGCTAACAATAAATAGAGCGCCAGCGTTGCTCGAAGCCAGACAGATTTGATTTCACGAGCGTCATCAAAGCTTGGGAATTGGAGAATGAGTAATTTTTACCGATGACCTTATTTGTCTAAAACTTGCTGTTAAAATGTACATGTCCAACTGTTTTGTATTTGCTTCTATGGAATTGATTCATGCCTTTGTTTGTGTTATGCTTCCCCTCATATATGTACCTTTTTTTAAATAGCCAATATGCGTTAATGGCATCAAATCATGGATCCTGTTTTAGCATTAGCTAGCTTGATAGCAACACTAGGTAACATGCTAAACGTTGCGTTACATCGATAATATAGGCTAAAAATACACATTTATCAAAGACATACATGGCTGATTGAGTCAACATAACTTTGATTGTTGGTTTGACTTTACGTGAATGGCCGATCTTTGGTTTTAGTTTGTCTTAGCCTATTGTTTTGATTGAGGACGTAAAGGTGCGTTGATTGTGTCTCATTGTGGTAAACCGGTTAGCTTGCTATGCTAACTAGCTAACTATTATGCATCACAAAAGCTCATCCGCTTTCTGTTGAATTCAGTGTGGAGGAGCCAAATGGTCGGCTAGTGTAGACTAAACAATACATTCTCACTCCAGTCTTCTGTGCTCCTTTCGATACACGTAGTAACACATCAAGCCTGCCTATTTTAACTGTTACGTCTAGCTGTATTTGACCTAAATATCGTTTGTTTTAGACAAGTGTAGTGGACCGAGTAATGTGCCTGTATTGAAATCAATGCCCCCAGCTTTTTTATTCACGATGGTTTATTAACCAAACATGGCCAGCGGTATGCTTCAGTATCCATCAAAGTGTAAAAACAATAGGGATGTTTGTCTGAAGGCGTTCAAGCTTTTGCACAGATTTTATTTTTGGCTACATTCCAAAACACATGTGGTTCTAAATGCTGCAAGCAGAACAATACAGGGTTCAGACGCAGGGTTTTGCTCTTTTCTCCATTTACTATTAAACTAATTCTATAGAACCGATTTCGTTCCAAAGCTTGTAATTTATTAAGTATAGAGCTTCACAGTTTTTTTTACTTTATACCCTCACACAACATATATCATTCACAATCTTAGTGTCTCTGTTTTTTTATTAACCAGAGATCTGTATTTCAATAATACACAGGCACGTGCATTTATCTTTCATTCAAATGTGTATTAATAATGTCTTTATTTTGTGTTTGTTATAGAGAACACTAGGTTATTTCACGATGGTTGACCTATTTATTATTTCATTTGGGGATTGATGTGGAATTTGGGCCATTCCGATGGTACGGTCTCTTTGAAGTATTCGACATACTAATTGTAAAAGAATATAAACGTTGCCTTCAAGCTGTGCCAAAAGTCGAGTGCTGGGTTTGAGATAAAAGAAAAAGTCCACTAAGTGCTTTCATATTTTATATTCATATATAACATATAGTATAAACAGTATTTACAATTTATCGCTTGTCTGTTGTGTTGACAGTTTCACAAAGTGAGCTGTTTATTTTAATTCAGAGGTTTCTCACGACTATTTACGTAAAGCCTAATAAATCCAATTACGTAATTAATGGGCCACAGGGGAAATTGAGAGAACATTGTCATGCACATACTGAAGGCTAACGACAAGTGAGAAGTACTTTAGGTTGATTGGTCTTAGAGATTAGGTGTTTGTATATAAATTAATAAAAAAACCTGACAAATATTTGTAATTGTATTTTACGTATCAATGTCTAAAATCACCAATAATTAACATGATTCTTCTCTCTCTCTTTCAGGAAACCCTTCTCCTGCATTCTTCTTTAGACCTATTGCCCTTCTTCTTCCCTGCACAAAGCAACACCTCCACCATGAGTATTATCCAAGACAAATTAGGCAATGAGTTTTTGCGCAATGGTGGCATGGATCCCAATTTTGCACCAGGTATGCTTATGTTCAGCCACCTGCCGCCAGTCACCAGCTTTACGCGGCTCGCCACCCAGTCGGTTATGGGCGAGCTTCCTCAGGAGATGATCCTGAAGAAAGAACGCGACTCGCCCCCAGACCACCAGGGCAACTTGAACACGGGGGGCTTCCTCCACAGTATGGGAATCAAGCAGGAGCGACTAAGCGAGCTGGATTACCGCATGCCCCTCTACAGTGGGGGTGGAGGAGTAGGGGTAAACTGTGCTGGAGGGGGCGCGGGGAAAAGTAATAATGACATGCCGGACATGTCTTTCGGCAACCATCACCACCAAAATCACCAGAATATGCTCCTTCATGACCTCAGCCTCAGCAACGTCCGGTCCCTTGGAGAACAGGTGAGAAGGGGTTGTCGTTCTTAATATTGTTTAGTGCTAGCTAGTTCAACTTGAATTTGTACACCCTTTTAACTTTCTATGTATGTCCCTTTTCTGCCATTTACTGAACTTACCCTGTTGTTGTTGTTGTTGTGTGTCCTCAGATGCCTGTAAGACCGGGTAAAGAGCCAAAAGAGTCCGCAGGTAGAAGAGGGCGAAGGAACAACGGGGACGGGCAGGGAGGCAAGGCAAGAAGGAAACGCAACGATGCTAAGGTTAATCCCTTATCTGTGGTCCCTGTCAATACACCAGCAAAATGTGCAATTTGCCTGAAGAATATCTCAGTATCTAACATGTTCTGATGTGTTTTCTCTTTGTAGGCCATGATGTTGGATGGAGAAGGAGCCTGCATGTCCCCCAACTCAAAACCACATATCTGTGAGCACTGTAACGCGGCCTTTCGCAGCTCCTACCACTTACGCAGACATGTGCTCATACACACAGGTGAGAGGCTTTCGCTGCTTGCCAGTGCCTTTTACTTCTTATCCTATATATTTATATTAAACTATGTGTTGATAAGTTCAATTCAACCAGCTATGTCCACTCCTCCTTTCACTATGCACCATTGCTGATTAGATCTCCCATTAAGAGACGCCTGGTTGAGACTGTATTAGAGCTAACAACATTATAATGAAACTATGCTTGTACTAAATGTACTTCCCGTGATCAATTTGCATGTTACCTGCTCTTAAGCTATGTTGGCAGGATTGCACTAAAACACAATTAGGCAAAAATCAAAAACAGCACTCTTGGAAAAATAAAATTACACTCTTCACTACCCTCCGGTCTAATCTCCCCTTCCCCATGAGTGCTTGGGGCCATAGCTAAAACCAGGAAGCCACGGATGACTCAATGATTACTCGTGTATTTCTGGAAGTCTTAGTCATCCTCTTTGCTGGGAATACCTCATTTTGCTCTTAGAACTTAAACACATAAAAGATTTGGAGGAAAGCATTTTTTCAGTTTATTTGAAATCACTTGCCTTGTTTTCTTATTACTTCTTCCAAGCGTACTGGCGCGTCACAATTTAAACATGGGAAATAAGTTGTTTTTGTATAGTTCTTTATCTTATGTGTCACACTAAATACACAATATAACACAATTTCTCTAGGAAATGTCTATATGAAGTGTTTAGCACGTGAGTCTCATACGTCTTTGAGACGCCACAGCTTTAACTGTCATTGTGACCATATGGTCGGGTGACGGGCTAGGAGATAATTAATGTGGTGAGCGGATTGTTGTACTCTTGATCGCACAGGTGAGAGGCCTTTCCGGTGCAGTCAGTGTAACATGAGCTTCATCCAGAAATATCTTCTCCAGCGGCACGAGAAGATCCACAGTGGTGAGTGTCTGCCCTTGGATATAAAGTCTTGTGTTTTTGGAACACATCCCGTTGCTTATCTGCATAATCACATTGTATAAGCGAGGTTGTAGTTACACAAACTCTACCACCGTCATCTGTCTTTTTCAGGAGAGAAGCCTTTTAGCTGTGACCAGTGTAACATGCGCTTTATCCAGAAGTACCATATGGAGCGACACAAAAGGACACACAGTGGCGAGAAGCCATATCGCTGCGATACATGTCAACAAGTAAGTTATCTGTGGTCTGTTTGATCGGAAGCTTACCGCTGTTTTCTCTCCGAGTTGATGTCTTTTGCAATTTGGCTTTTATATATGTTTTTGAACTATGTGTATCAGTAACATGCATTATTATCATTTTGCCTGCAAATCTAAAAAAACATTTATTTTTGTGCTTTCCACTTAAATCCATCTTTTAAATCCCTGTCTCAAATGGGATTGGTGAAGTTAAAAAACGTCATTGAGAGCAATATTTTAGAACGGTTTTGGTTTTCCTCCCTTATCCTTATCCATGTTCTCCTTTTTCCAATTTTAGTTTTTCTCAAGAACAGACCGGTTACTGAAGCACAAACGGACTTGTGGAGAAGCCATAAAGAAGGGCCTGGACCCGAGCATGCTGGAGCTCAGCGATGCGGAGCTAGGCCAGGGCAGCTATTCACTCACTCAGGGAAACTCGACCACCTCCGGACGCAAGAGGGCCAAGTCCAAAAACGGGGAGGGCGGCAAGAGGAAGAAGAACGCCTCGGCATCAGCAGCTTCTTCCTCTGGGGCGATGAGTATGCAGGACTTCGACATGGAGCACCCGTCGGGCTCCGACCCCAACATGCAGGGACGTACTCCTAAATTGGTCTTTAAAAAAGCCGGCCGCAAGGTTCTGGATAAGGGCCTCCTCGCTCTGGAAGACACCGCCGACGGACATAAACGGTTGGGGCAGAAGCACGACTCCATGGATCACGTGGAGGTTTCGGGCCTCGATAACATGGGTCTGCTCCAGGGGCCCGGGCTCAACAAGCAGGGGCCCACCACCAGCAGCAACTACGATGATGCAATGCAGTTTGTGAAAAAGCGGCGCTACCTCCAAGCTGTAAACAATGACTATGGAGCCGGCTCACTGCACATGGCATCCCAGGGCAACAGCGTCATCCACGGCTCCCTGGGGCCCGAGCCCACGCTGGCCATGCTGGACACCTCGCCTCTGGATCTCAAGCACGACAAGTCAGGCATTCCAGACGAGGTGCTGCAGACCCTGCTCGAGCATTATAGCCATAAGCAAGAGGGGCAACACCACCACGACGTGACTTTCGACCTGTCGGACCACCCGCACCACGTCGACCTCCAGCCGGCGGCCCCCGTCACCCCTGAGCTGGAGGATGACTCCCCCAACGGTGGCGACAAGCATGCAGTGATGAGCGAGTACTCGAAGTTCCTCCTGCAGGCCCTGGAGCGCACCAGCCACAGCGGTCCCTTCCCCAGCCTTGGCCAAACGGGGCCCTTCCCTCTCCTGTCCAGCAGCTCCAGCCCCACGGGGCCCCTCTTCTCAGACAAACACGGGTACGCCACATCTCCGCTGGACTGTGGCTACCCGCCTTCTGTGTCCTCCCCGCTTCCCATCGTCGCCCCTTCGTCAAACTCCTCGTCGACGTCCTCCAAGTCCCACTACGGGATGCTGGTCAGCTCCCCCTCCCAGGCGGGCTACCACCTCAGCTTGGAGCCCACCAGCCACCAGCAGCTGACCCCCTCTCAGGAGCTGACGGAGCAGCTGGAGAAGCAGCACTCCCCGGGCACCTTCAACCTACCTCCCCAGGACCTGACTGCCTCGGCAGACGGATCCAAGGGGCCGCAGCCCAAGTCCGGAGTGGGCATTGCACCCACCAACGGCTCCAGCTACCCGGACCTGTCCCCACTGAACACCCCAAAAGAAACCATGTACCAGATCGAGAACTTCGCCCAGGCCTTTGGTTCCCAGTTCAAGTCAGGGCGGCGGACCCCTCTGGGCTACGGCAGCGATCCTGGGGTGGAGTTGGACCACCGAATACGGACTCCAGTGTCAGAATTCTCAGGGTATACCAGTTTGTTAGCTGACGTCGGCGAGCCAGTGAGTACAGGATCAAAAACCCAGACAAGCCAAAGTTTCAGATAAGGGTCAAACGAGGTGAATCCAGCAGGGGGCTCCTGTTACTGTCCACGCAGCCCCCACACCCATCCTAATTTTGTTCGTCTAGCAAAGTTTTGTTTTAAAAAAAAACACTGCCATTAATTGTTCATACAAAATGACCAGGGAGGGTCTTTCATGGCCTCAAATGCAATTTTTTAAAATATTCTCATTTTTATTATGTATTTAGTCGCTTCATTTTTGTTTAAGAGTAGTGATTTTGATATGAACGTACCGTAGATTTAAATGTAATTTAAAACATTTAGAGGGTAGCTATAAACTTGCTTCTTTTTTTTTGGAAACCCTTGTGTTTTACCAATCATACCATTGTAAAGTAATAATGGCTAATGTTGATAATTTCAATAATAACATGTGTGGCAGGGAAAGGCCCAGAATTCAAATTGCAAAAAAAGTATATATTGTCTGTTACAAGAAACATATTAACTCAGGAAAAATAGTCAAATTTGTGTAATAAGACTTTGTATTATGAGATGCAATTAGCACAGTTTTTACAGGTGTACTTTGAGACTACAAAGCTTTGATTTTTTTGTTTCTTTTTTACTCGTCGGAACAACAAATTACAATACATGATGATGTGTGGTTTCTACTGCGTGTAGCTTTGTTGAGATTACGGTACTGTTGTGTCAATGTGAAGACATCCACATTTCTTTTGAGAGCCACATGTGTACACGAGGTAGTATGAATTGTAGTGGAGTTCAGCACACAGCATCGTTAAGGTAACTTGTCAGCTTTAGGCGTCGGTTAATGAATGTCGTGTAACCGCATACTTCTCTAGTTGTGCCTGCTTTGGCCGGTAGAAAAGAAGAAGCGTAGACTAAATTCCTCCCATTGCCGTTACGGACGTCTCAAACATCATCGGAGATCTTTTCCTCGTGCTGTTGCTGAAGTCGTCACTTTCTGCTCAACTCTTGCTGTTCCTTTTTTGTGTAAATGGAATCAAACAAGCACTTTTTAAAAAACAAATCATCATTGGAAGCAACAACAACCCATTCAATTTGCATATGTGATACGTGATTATTATGCTAATGATTATTAATATTATTTTAAGAGGAGAAAACTGTGAATGGGATTGGGGGGTGGTCGGGAGGGAGGGAGTATTTTAACGGGTTTGAATAGGGGTCGAGTAGGCATGACCTTGGGCATCTAAATGTATTTTGTTGCTTTTTTCTCAAGGGTAGAAGAGAATGGGAGGGGGGGATTTTTTTCTTACGGTCTGTCGGGTGATGTTGTAAAAAGATTTGCCATAACTTTGTTATACAATATTTTGAGAGTACCTCTTTGTATTTAAGTGTTTTAAGAGACGGGCTGACATGCTGGAACCCCAAACCCCTTTTTATTTATTCTCCACTAGCCACAACAGAACTCAGTAGCAGATATTTTTGGCAAGTAATCCCATTACCTCTTACCTCCTTTTCCCCCCCCTCGACTTTTTCTTAATGATGTTTTTAACCCCACTGTGGTAGTAGATGCAACAAACTGCTTCAATGATACAGTTAAGAAACACAAACGGTAACTTATTCCCCCCTCCCCTTTCCCAAAATGCAGCCATGCACTCGCAAGAATAAACAATGGCCTTCTTTGTCCTCCGTGGCTAAAGCCATTCTATCCCGGCAGCCAGGGTTGATATTTAATTTAGTTGATTTCCTGTAAGCCCCCCCTCCCCTTCCCTTTTCCTATGTCTGTGAGCTCCACAGCCAAGAGACTTTGAAGCTGCTCAGATCACAGGGAACAAAGACTGACCAGCCACCTCACTCCAAACAAACACTATGCTTTCTAAAGTAGAAAAAAAAAAGAGTGGGTGAGAGACGGAGAAAAAAAAAGACGATACGATTGACCTAAATATACCTCATATCACTAAAGCGCAAGAAAGCAGGGACACGCGTTTCATGTATGTAGTGGAAATATTTGTAGTATAGGTTCGACATATTGTATAATCATTTTAACACTGCCTGTGTTTACAATTATAGAGCAAATGACTCGTCAAAATGCAAATGTATTTTTCTTTTTCTGTAAAAACATCCACGCCAAGCAGTGTTGCATTCTAGATGCCTCATAGAACATTCATTTTTCTCGTTATATCCCTTATTTTTGTTACTTGCCATAATGTGTTTTGATATGATCTCTAGAAGGATATTGTTTACAGAAATGTACAAAAACACTACAAATGTGTGTTCTCATTTTTTTTTTGAGTTTTTCTCCAGTATGCATGATAAAGACATTTTTCTATGGCTTTTTTTCTGACACCTCAATACCAAATGTTGTAGCAGAGGCCTCCCCATCCCCTTTGTCTTATTTGTTCTAGACCCCATGTGATATGATTTCCCAGGCTGTACCTGTTATTGAGATGAACGGATTAGAGAAGCCAATAAAACTTTTTGTTACAAAAAAAGAAGACGGTGTGTGGTTTATGTCTCTCAGAAGCTCATGATACTTGATATTGTTTATTTGTTCTAATTATTGGTATTATTTTGTTCTGTTTTTACAAAAGATTTTGAGCAAACATCTTTTCCTGGCAATGACAGCAGCACATAGAAAGATGGCTGACAACATTTGATAGAAATCTGAAGAGAATTAGGAATTGCAAAACAAAGACTCTAAATAATAACGTGATGTTTAATGTAAATACACACTTAAGGCATTACAAGCACACTGCAGATTAAATTAGAGAAATAAATATAAAGTTGTGATTAGGGCTGCACGATATTGGAAAAAACTGACATAGCGATATTTTTCCCCTGCGATATTATTGCGTTAGGAAAAATACAGGAATTTGGAAGAAAATACACCTTTTTTTTTTTGTCCGCAAACATACCTTTATTGAACTTTATGATATACAATTGGTATTTTTTTAACGATATTTAACCGGATGGAGGATTTTAGCCACGGACTTCTGGATCTTAAGTTATCAGAGCAACAAGTTGAGCTAGCTCGGTTATCCTGCTGTGATCTGATCAAGAATGGTTGTGATTGGTGGTTTGCTGTGCATGCAGAGCCTGCATGTCACTCACTCAAGTACCTTTTCCTTTTATAGCAAGTAGCAAAAGAATTGTAACATGACGTGTTTGAGTTAATTTGCCTACTTAATATCGCACTTCCTACATTTAATTTTTTTTTAAATCGCACGTCCTGCGATGTGAATATCGCGCATGCGCATAACGCGATTATCGTCACGACACGATATATCGTGCAGCCCTAGTTATGATTGTTTTTCAGTTACATTTTTCAGGAAACATTGTAATTCAGATGATATGGTTTCTAAAACTTCTCGTTTTCTCCTCAGTTTATGAAATAATTGCTTTGAACACTTGTTCCCAGTTGCAGGTTGTATTTCAACACAGAAGCCAACAACAACAACAGTGACTTGCATTCTCACTTTGGATGCACCTTGCTCCTGCTGTGAGTGACAGTCATGTGATCCTTCAATAGATTATGTGTTTTTAATGTGATTTTAATGTGAATCCTCCTATCGTTTAGAAACACGACCTGCTGCCAGAGGATGGAGCTGTTCTCCACCGAGTAGCTCCTGACAGACGTAAACGCAGGTAAAACATGATCAGATCATTTATACTATAGTGGTTGAAATGTACATGCTGCCTCCTGATAGTTGCTGAACGTAGTGTTACCAGATTCTTTAGTGTTCACACTGTTCACCCTAACAGCTGTGAAACCTGTTTCCCAGACACTGAAGGGAGTCTGTTATTATGGCCTTTTGTCTGGAATAGATCAGCAGTTTCAACCCTTTTGTAGTGTTTGAAGACACTTATAGTTATCTGTCCTCTCTGTTTACTGAATCTGTGTCAGCCAAACATCGATTTCAAAGACACATTGGTAAAAATCGACCCATTCCATTTTATAATGATTGTTAAAAGCACTAAAGATTAGTAATGCTTCAACACTCATCGCAACACTTCATGTTTTAAAGTTTCACATTACTTGCAAAGATCATAGTGTTAGCATAGTTGTAATACATTATAATTAAATCTTAAATTATATTTGAACTGTATCAGGTATTGGCAGATATAATACACCACAATCTGGATGTGAATCACTTTTATAAAGTTCACAAGTTCACTTCTTAAATGTCAGTGAGTGGCCAGCAGTTATGAAGTATTGTGGCTCTTATAATTATCATATGCTTTATAAATAGTGTTGTTTATGGATTAGTAGGTCAACAATGCGGTTTAAAATGGTTTATATTGCGTTATAGACTGGTCATAGACACCAATACCACAGCGCTTAACCATGATATTTCCCTAACTAAATGTTACAGTTTCTTGAACATAACTAGTTTATTTGCGATAACTAGATTTTTGTCTTGAACCATACTGTAGTTTTCAGCAGAGTTGGTAAAAGTACTCATATCTTGTACTTGAGTAAGAGTATAACTACCAGAGTGCAGGAATACTCTGTTACAAGTCAAAGTCCTGCATTCAAAATGTTACTCAAGTAGAAGAAGAATTAGCATCAATATATACTTTAGTACCAAAAGTAAAAGCACTCATTATGCAAATAATATATTTTATGGTTTGATTATAATTATGTATGCATTATTGTGTTTATCAAAGCAGGTAAAAGTACAGCTAGTTTGAATGACTTTGTATACTGCAGGGTAGCTTGTGTTTTCCAGGTGGAACTAAAGTCTTATTTAAGTGTTGATTATATTTCACATCATTAATCCAAATCTGCAAAGCAATTCAAATTTCTAATAAATGTATTGGACTAAAAGTACACCATTTCACTCTGAATTGTAGTGTAGTAGAAGTACAAAGTAGCATAACATGGAAATACACTAGTGGAAGTATCGCAAAATTGTACCTCAGTACAGTACTTGAGTAAATGTAATTAATTACTTTATACCTCTGGATATTCTGGGCTTTTTCAAAATTATTTAAGTATTTAAGTCCTAGTCTGACGAAAGCGTTATAAAGCAACAACGATAAGCAAATCCAACAATATTCAGTCGGTACAAAGAATGTGTGCAGATCATTAGCTTCCTGTCTTGTTGTTTATAGCTCTTGTGTCATTGTTTTGAACGCGGATGAGCAGTATCTCTGAGCAGTCTCTTGTTGAAGGAGCCTCGTGATCAGAGTTAAGGGTCTCAGTGGGTTTGACTGGCACTGCCACCTTTTACAAAGCTGATATCTCTCCAGCATGAACGTCATGTTCTAACTCTAATCACTGCCAGGAACAGCAGGCTGGGTGGGGTCGAGGATGGCCGTAACTGCGAGTGACTTTGGACTTACAGCTAGCAGGAGACACAGATGCAGTTACTTCTCCGCCATCGCACCTCTGTTGACTCAGGGCAACATGTTCATAAAACCTGCCGCTGACAAATGTAGCCGGGGAATTATATCGTCGATGTCTAAATGTGCAGGGATTAATCATTTACCGGATCCAAAATAAACTGTTGAAGTCACGCACATCATATAAAAAATTCGCTATTGGAGAAATGAACTCCTAATTACTAACCAATTTAACTAAATCCATCTGTTGGAGGTAGGTGAGGATGAAATACAGAATGAAATCCTTCTAGTTCAACAAAGCAATGGGATTTATTGGATAGTTTGTACATAGTAGTAGATCCCATTGGTGTGATAATGTAGATTTTTGGGTAAAGAGAATGTCCTATCATATATCATATATTGTAATATTATAATCTATCCACTCCAAAGGCCTGACAATTGATCTTATGTATTTAAACAGTTTGACATGCATTTTAAAAACAAGTCATGTCAGTTTCTAAACGTATTATAATTAAAGGATATGGGCGTATTTTTATCAAGGGTGTGAAAAACAATCAATACAGTACCGAACAGCGATATCATATTTGTGATACTGCATTGACCCCAAAAATACTATCAAATTCAAATATTGGTTTCATTTAAAGATGAACTCAGTCAATATTTTTGCAAGGATAGGCACCATCACAGTGTATGGGGCTTCTCAAATAAAGTGATACAATGTTAAATGTCCCAGAGACTGCAGGTACATGCAGATCCCACTGTTCTGATATCATGTGAAATGTTTTAACTCAGACGTTATAAAAATATGCTGGTGTTCTTAATGCTTTGAGTTTTCCTTAAATTAGGAACCTTTTTATGGGTGTTATATCCCCTTGGTTTGAGTATCATGATATTTCACAGTATATTGTAACGCCTGTATTATCATATGTATCATATTCCCCAAAATATGAACTACTTAGATATAGTCATAAGTTAATTAAAGAGTGAGGGAAGCGCAGTTTCCAATCCAGTGTTTTGAAAATATGAAAAAAATGTATTAAAATCATTCATAGTGTGGAACCCCCACTATAACTAAAGTGTTGTTTTTTTATCTACAAACCAACACCCATGGAAACAAGGGCTTGAACCATTTTTACCGACAGGTCAAACTGTTTTTATCTAAAGGCTATTTTAACCATTTGACGCCCATGGTGACACTTGAGTGGCATAAGACTTTAGTCAGTTGTGTGTTCATTTAGATATAGATCTGGGATCAAAGTCAACTTGGAGATAAAACCTTTTTATGGGTGTTGATGAGAAGATATATCAATAAACTTTAAAATATTAAAACATAACTTCAGACTTGTGAAGGGGAAGGTTGATAACACACTTTGATTTACCAAATGTTCAAACTTTCACATTGAGGTCTCATAATGCTTATTTTGTAGACAGTTTAACAACAAGTTCACAATATCTCACATCTTATGACGTCTCTGAATCAAAGGTCACATTTTCCTACGGCCCACCCTGGTTTATTGTCCACTTGCTTTCTGATAAGACAGTTCAAACTGGATTTAATCACTTTCTGAAGCAACATTTTAAGACATTTGTTCTTAATGGCATTTAGCGTCATGGGTGCAGCTTCTTTTGTGTCGCTGTATGGAGTCGGACACAATCATGTTAAAAATGGTGCTGTGAAGAAATCATGTTTACAGAAGCTGTCCCAGGAGTGAATGGTGACTGGTGAAACGGCCATAAATTCATAAAATGACTGGCAAGGAATGTAATCTTTGCCCCACCACTTCATTTCGGCCTCTATAAGTAACTTATAAAGTCTGAGGCTTAGATGTACAATTGTGCGTGCTATTTGAACAAGAAAGAAGCTGAAAATTGTCATAAATGACGACGTCAATCCTCCAATTCTGTTTCCACATGGTTTCAGCTGTCGAGCCAGGAAATATATACGTGACATCATAAACTGTAATTAGTTTTATATCATATATTTATTATAACCCCTGTAATTAAACACTCCTCTGCTTTAAAGCTTTCCTCCTTATATACAAAAAACCTGCTATAATTCCAACAGTTTAATCTTATCCGCCTTACTGACGGCGGCCATTGCTTCCTTTTTTTGGTTCTCCTAAACTGTGCCTTTATTAACCGTTATTGCAAACAAAAGAGAAGCAAACCACTTTCCCTGAGAAGTTTAGAGAAATATGAACAGTATATGGCTACAAAATACTATGTTTAAACATTATGTCTGAACATACAGTAGCTATGATATAAGAGATAAACAACATGACCATAGCTTTGTGAGATATGACTGCTCCTAAAGGAAGAGGTCTAAGATAAGAATTCTAAGACATTTTATTGGTATCTTTACACAAATAAACAAAAACACAATTGCAGAAAACAACAGAAATGAACTGTATGCAATGATCTGTTGGATAGACAAATGTATTATTAATTATCTATATTGCAAACATTTTTTAGGATTTACTGCAGCGTATGGGAAGATTTGTGTGTTGACGATGTTTGAGGAATATTACCTGACCTCTCTTTAAGATAATGTTTTCACATTTGTTACATTCTAGATATCTCTATTAACTTGGATGTCTTGTGAAACACTTTATGTTGAAAACTGTTTTTTTTTCCTAACACAAAGCGTATTTGCTGCCCCCGCCAATGATGTTAGGTTTGACTTTCAGGATTGTCCCAAACACATCATCACTCAGGCCCTTTGCTGTGTACAGAGGATGTTAGCCTGTTCTCTTACGTCATTTTAAGACAGTTTGTGATTATTCATTAAGTGGTTCCTCTTTCACGCTACACTTCCCAAAGATCATTTGGCAAACAAACAGCCAAGCCAGCCCTATTGTTCTTCTTTGGTTTTTCTCTATAATTTAAATATGTTGTGTTTATGATAGCTATAGATATATGTCTCAAAGATCTGACTCACTTTCTGGTCTTTAAGAAAAACAAACAAACAGAGACATGGGAAGTGGGACCTCCAAGTCTTTTTTTTCTGGGCGGGAAATGTACTTTGGCACACGGTGCCGCCCTCAAAGGAGTGGCCAATGATTAAAACTGCCAGTGGAGGACACTGGAGCCCTTAATCCTCGTCCACTCACCCGCCTCTCTGGCTGTCTTTTTCTTGGTAAAGTTTGTCAGTGCGTTATTTTTCAATGGCTCGAGAATTTAACCTCCTCTACGCCCTTTTGCTGGTTGTGGCCTGTCTTGGTAAGTTGGCTGAACCTTTTATTTTGTATCAGTCGTTAGCCTCTCGCAAATAAATAGGAGAAATGTAAGGTATATTTTATAACAGAGGAACATTTTGTTTTTTTCTCACAGTCTATTTTTTATGGATATGTAAAAAGTTGTTATCCAGAGCAATAATATAATCATCACAGAACTTGTGTTGAAATTGGTTTTTATAAGAAAGTAGAAGATCCAAAGAAGATATTGCATGGCTCTAGATTAAGTGATAGACTTTCAGGTAAAATGGAAGTGATGATATAGACTGAGGGCCGAAACAACATTGCTAATGTATGCATCTATTTTCTCAAAAAAAGAATTGATCAGTTTTGTTCGAAATTGAAAAGCCAGGTATACAGCTAGTCAGAAATGAAGGCCCACTTTTCATAATGCCTTCAAGCTTGGCCTAACAACAATTTTTTTTATGTTGGATTGGTTTAAACGCAATTAAATGTAAATATTTAACTACTGTATTAATTCAGACAATCTGACCTTATCTTATGACCCTTGTTGTCACCTTCTATTTCAATCAAGGAAGTCTATTGGGTTTCCTTATACACCCTCCAGTCTGGTTTTAATAGCTTTGATTGAGCTTTAGACGTTGGACCCGTAATTTTTAGGCCTCTTCAATTATGTCTCTTTTTTTGTGTTTTTCTTAAATCTTCCATAAATGTGACACATTAAAATATGTATTCTTAGTTTGGATCAACAATAAACTGAACTGAGAATTTCCTATCCGCAAGCCTTCATTCTATCTTAATATCCGCTCATACCGCAGTACAAATATGTCTATTTCTCTGATATTAAAGAGAAAAAAATGTCAAGCATAGTGGTTACCTCTCTCATACAACCCCAGCAGGAACTACGAGCACAGCATTGCCTAACACCACAGCAGTGCCTTCGACCACAGCAGTGCCTACGACCACAGCAGTGCCTACGACCACTACGACCACAACAGTGCCTACGACCACAGCAGTGCCTACGACCACAGGACCTACGACCACAGCAGGACCTACGACCACAGCAGGACCTACGACCACAGCAGGACCTACGACCACAGCAGGACCTACGACCACAGCAGGACCTACGACCACAGGACCTACGACCACAGCAGGACCTACGACCACAGCAGGACCTACGACCACAGGACCTACGACCACAGCAGGACCTACGACCACAGCAGGACCTACGACCACAGGACCTACGACCACAGCAGGACCTACAACCACAGCAGGACCTACCACCACAACAACAGCAGGACCTACAACGACAGTGCTTCCAAGTAATGTCACTTGTCAAAAAAACATATAATCTATTTCCAAGATGTCATTGTTTCAAAAATGATTATCATGTACTGTTCTGCCAATTGTTTTCATCTTCTTTTGACTTGCCTTAGACCCTTGTAATGAAAACCCATGTGGCGCTGGGGTCACCTGTGAACCTCGTGCCGATGAAACCTTTGCATGCTTGTGTTTGGCTGGTGATTTCTACAATAATGTCACCAAAACTTGTGACAGTGGTGAGTATTTGTCCTCTATGACGTTGTTCCAGTCCATGCTAAGAATTGGCTAAATGATTTGTAATATTAAAGTGTAGGCCTGTATGTAAGGCCTATCTGTGGGATGAAGAGTATAGTGTTAATCTTTTTTTGTTTCAAGCTAAGATTCATTGAATTCTAGTAGTATCAGGTTGGTCAACATGATAAGCATCTTTAGGAAACAGGTGCTTCTTACTCATTTCATGAAATGCTTAGAGCTACAGTTCAACGTCTTAAGTAATATTCAGTAAGATTTAACAATAGAAATATGTAGCTACAGCCAGAATTTGGTTGATTTAATTAGCTCAAATCCACACCTTGAACAACGTGAAAAAAACTAGCCTGGGTAAATCCATCTTCAAGCACCTGAGAATGAATGCGTCATAATTTGTTTGTTGAATTCACACAAAAAAAGTGTATGAACAGCTACTTGGGGTTTTCCAGGGCTATATTTTCGACAGGAACAGTGACATCCAGAAGTCCTGCTTGTACCGTGTTCCTGACAATAATTCATTTTATGCTAGCTTCCCTTTTATGCTAAGCTAACCAGCTGCAGGCTGTAGTCTTTTGCTCATTGGACAGATAAGAAAGTGGCTTTATTTTCTTATCTAACTCTTGGCAAGAAGTATTTTTATTTATTTTTTAAATGGTTATGACAGGAGTGTGTCCTTTATGCTAAGACAATGTTTTCCTATTTTAGCCAAAGTTTTTCCTGGAAACCTAAACATTCTTAAAATGAAATACAACGAAGCTATGGATGACAAGACCTCAAAGGAATTTCTTGATGCATCCAAAACAATCACTGACGAGGTAAGCAATACGTTCTTATATTTGTTTTTTTAATGGCTTTTATTTTTTTCCTTTTAAGTAATGAAACCTTTTTTCTCTTTTAAACACATTAAATAATGTTGATGCAAAATGTCCTGTTTGTAAAGTTCAGTGACATAAGTGATAGATCACAAACTCACCAGTGCTACACCTGGGTATTAAACTGGATGCATGTTGTAATGAATGTGGCATTTTGCTACACAACGATCAAAGTGAAGTTTGACGAAGTGGTTAACAATATGGTATTTTTTCCTAAAACACAGCTATCTCGAGTTTTTAAATCGTCTAAAGGTTACTCTGGATCTATAGTGCTGAAGCTCAGGTAAGTCACAATGTGTTAACCATCTAATTGTCTATCAATCTAAAACCATACTTCCTACATTACATTTACACCATGTTGCTCTTAAATAAGGCAGAATGTAAATATCATATAATATACATAATATAATTTAATGTGATTTTTGTCTATATACAGCCAGTTCACACCAAAAGTTTGGTCAAGAGCAGTCACTACGGTCAGAGCAGATGTACAGATCATCTTCATGGCAAATGCTGTCATCGTAACAGAAAACGTTACAAAGATACTGGAGACAGAGAAGGCTTGTGACGCTTGCCTATTGGAAGGTTCATCTTTCGTTGGTAAGTTTATCAAATGTATACCTCAGTTCTTTATCTAGTGTTAAGGAGAGATTTAGCTAAATATTATTTAAACCTAAATAGATATACTTGCAGGTAGAATGTAATTGAAGAGGGGTTTTGTTCTTTCAAAAAGCTGTATGCATTTGTTTTGAAGTTGTCAATGTTAGGGCTGTGAATTGCATAACCATATAATGCTGTTTAGTCTTAAGAACTTAACTCACTTAGTGATCATTTCATTTAATCATTAAATGTAAATTAATCATTATAGTTTGAAAAAAAAGTGTTATTATAATACATCAAATGCAACAAACTATCATTTTAACAAAGCCTGAAGCTTTGGATTCTTTCAGGAATAAAATGTTGTTCTGTCAGCGTGAAGCAAAAAGAACATAAAATACATTTTAAAATTTGATTTGTTTAGTTGTTGCAGAGTCTCTTTTTGTTGCTTTTACATATTAAACTTATTTGTGCTTGTTGGTTATGAATCCCCAGCAGACAAGGTTACCCAATCATGGTATTTCCACATACAGTATATGGTGATCTTTGTACAGTGTCCAGAGTATAATTTAGCCGGCGAGTGATAATATGCAACTATAAATATGTTGTACATTTCAGACCATGCTTCTTATTATGTAGTAAGTTTTATTTTGTACCATTGTATTTTTGGGATTTAGATGTACCAACTATTTTTTCTCCATTTAAAGCTAGAGAACTGTGTGATGAGTCGGACGCTGCCTGTGGTCAGAATACTGCATGCACATCTGGAGACGGAACTTTTAAGTGTAAATGTTCGCCTGGTTACATTACCACCGCCTTCAGTGACAGGATATGCATTGGTAAGGGCATTTAGTGTGGTAGAAACATACAGATTGATTGTGTGTGTGTGTGTGTGTGTGTGTGTGTGTGTGTGTGTGTGTGTGTGCATGTGCGTGTGTGCGTGTTACATACTAGCCTTTGTTTAACTAAACGACACTACCTGAAACTTTTCTATCTTAGCAGCATGTCCCAGTGGTCAAACACTTGTTGGATCCGATGCCTGTAAAAGGTAAGGTTGAAATGACATATCATATTTAAAAATATATACAACTCATACAAAGGACTTGGTTTAAAAAGAAATTATAAATGACTATTTGTTCTTGTGTTTCAGTTGTTCATTCGGTTATTCTGGTTTTAACTGCGCCGATTGTGAGTATACACAGTATCTGTTTGACCATTAAGACGAAACGACAGCCACAAAATAAAATAATACAATATTTATTATGACTCAGAAGAAATCAATAACCTATAAAATGTATACGAAATGGATGACATCTCATTTAATCTTTTTTAAAAAGACACATTTATCAGATTTTACAAAAGGCTTTATAACTTTTACATGAGACCTGTGAACAGACCTTGATGTAAAGAAAAGTAGGGGTCCATTATGACTTTGTTGTACCTTCATTTTAAAACACTTGTATGTCAAAAGTTGTACAAAATGTCAATAGCCTTGTTGTAAATGTCCTTGTCATTGTGTTTGTTAGCATGGAAGCTGTCGCTGGTAATCGTTGGCTCTGTGCTCGGGGCACTGCTGCTCATCACGATTATTGTTCTGATTGTACTGGCAGTCAGGTGAGCCCCACATCTATTCACCTGCCAACTTTTAGTCATTCATTGTTGACTCTGTCATGTTTTAGCCATGTTTATCTCTCAATCTCCCACCCATCGTATTGATTATGAGCCTTTTTTATTGTGACAAAGCTGCATTTAACCTGACATTTTCTTAATGCCTCACACATTTGGCAACAGATGGAGTTGTAGAATAATCTATCTATTAATACAATGAAGTCTATAGTGCAGACAAGACAGATAAAGCTAAAGTTGATTGTAATTGTATGTACTCTTTTTAGGTCCCCAATCAAAAAGAGCTCCAAAAAGAGCAAAAAAGCAGACACTGGGAACTTTTATGCTAGCCAACTTCCTGTCAAGGCGCCACTGGGAGCCCACAGCCACGTAGCCCCGGCTAATGGGCTAGGCAACGGCCAGTCAGCCTTTGGCAATGCTGGGATGCCTAGGATCCCACGGGCCACGACCACCAGCAGCTGGGACAGCAGGACTAACCTGGAGATGACTCCAAGCAGCAGCCGGCAGAACCTGATCCCTGCTGGGAGGAACTCGGTGAGCATGACTCTGTGTGAAAGACAGAGGACAGAAGTTGGACGGTAGTTTGTAAATAGTTAGGAATATAAAATGGAAAGAGTGTCCTTAAAGCAAAGAGGTCTGGAAAAGTGTTGAGATCCATTCATTTAAATGATCATGTTTCTTCAAAAATTAAAATGTGTTGTTTTTGTTCAGAGGATAAGCTCGTATTTTTCATGACAAAATCTATAGTAAAAATGATGTGTTACTTTCTACACTTACTTTACTGAAATAATCAGAATCAGGTTTATTACCAGGCAGGTTTACACGTACAAGGAATTTGACTTGATGTCCTGGTGCATACATATAAATTAACATTACAAAATATTAGAAAATAATTCAAAAATATAGTAAAATATTGCAGTACATAGAAATAGAATGGAATAAAAATATGGAATAAAATGAGGCGGTAATGAAAAAAACACAGATAATCTGTTAGAACACAGGTTTAATATAGTTTCAAAACATTAATCTTTTGTTATTTCAAAAATATTGAGGCTATAGATATAATTGGACATGGGAAATATATCCCCCATAGGGTCCCCCATATATTCTATATCTTGTAAGATGTCCTTTGTAAAAAAAAAAGAAAAAAAAGGAGAACAGACCAACAGAAAAAGAAAAAATGCTGAGCAGAAGAGAAAACATTTATCAGGTTAAGATAAACGTAATATATTGGTTTTTTAAATAATTGAATCTAAAAATTCTCTTTCCATTTTAGCGGTTCCACGAGGACAATGAGGACCATGCTCCGTCTCGACAGAGCAGCCTCTACGCTCGCCCGCAGATCATCCCGTACGATCAGAGTCGACCTCAGAACAACTCGTATTCCCAGAGTCAACCTCAGAACAACTCGTATTCCCAGAGTCAACCTCAGAACAACTCGTATTCCCAGAGTCGACCTCAGAACAACCCGTATGCTCAGAGCAGCGCATACTCTCAGAGCCAAGGCAACAGCAGCTCTTACATGCACTAAAACAGGAGAAGATGGTTAACAAATCCTTCATTGACATTTAGCCAGATCAGAAACTGGGTCAGGAACACCTCAACATTCTCCTTTTTTAGTTTTTTCCCCCACAAATAACTTTATTCCTTAACACCACCAGGTCCTGTGCAATAGCTGGAAAAATGTGCAAAAAAAGTGTAAACTCTATTCTTACTAATTATAAGCTGTTATAAATAATGTGTCTCTTTCTTTAATCTTTGCCAAAGCTCTGAATATGAGATACAATGGGGGTCTTTTTAAAGGTTTCTCAACATTTTTTTCAATCAATTAAGATATTACTCTTTAACGATTTGACATTTGTAAATCCTCAAACGAGGAGTTGTTCGATATATTATTATAAATAAATGATTATGTTATGTGAGGGTCGTCACATAACATGAATTTACAGGTAATCGTTTTGTATGTGAAATGTGTTGTTTATCATGAGAATTATCTTTCTGTTTAACTCAGCTGTTGTGAAGGAGACGGGTTTCCTTTGTTTGCATACCATTTAATGAGTTATTCCTAAATTAGGGCATGTCAGATGCCTCCCTATATATTTCAGTATAATTTGGGTAAAATGTTTACTATATTGAAACAGTTTGATGTATTATTTTGTACAGCTATGAGCATATTTTGTTTTATTTCCAACCAATTTCTTGATACCAAGCTGTATTGAACATGGAAAAATAAAAACAACAATACTTATACTTATTCAGTTTTTTTTTTTTGTCACTCATATTATCCTTAGGAAATGTACCTAATTTCAACAATAAAAAATTGACATTACATTAAACACACACAAAATAATGACATTTACACTACTTATGATATTAATGGTTTATTTAAATAATTAACTTAACTATAAGACATCTTAAATATTAAGCAACCTATAATAAGTTTTATAAAAATTATGATGATGTTTTTTAACGGCTTTTGTGAAATCAAATATGTAGAGGTGGTTGCAGTGTGTATTTGTTTGTACTGCCACTGGAAGGCGCCAAAGTTTAACCAACACAAGCAGTGATGAAGACGGGGTTAACACTCCATAACAGTCCAAATATATTTTTGATTAATTAAATCACTGAAATGTCCTCAAAGTACACTATTGTGCTTTGCTTATTAAGCTTTCCTAGGTTACTATTGTTTGAAACAAATTCACCCTTTAAAAATCCTTGTAGACATACAGTTTTAATGATGTATGTGCATGTGTCAGCTTTAAAAGCATTGTAATAAATGTAGTTTAACAATTTCTACAAGCACAGCAGGTGTATGAATCAGAAAAAACACATGATATCCAATTTGCAATGGTACACTTGTTTGTAAGGGATACATCATTCATGTTAACATCTGATCCGTTCATTTGTTGGTATAACACTTCCAGCCAGAACAATATTATTTAGCTCTCAGTGTAGCTGTATTACCGTTTTTGTCTCATACTACTGAAGAAGATAAATGCAACAGGGACAAACAATCCAATTCCACTAAACTGTTCTTGTTTCTGTCACAAAGTAATGTTCCTTTCTGCTTCAAACCAATAAAGCACATGTACTGTGACATGGTTACAGTAGAAGCTACGATCATTTCTCAATAATGGGAAAAAAAATTATATTAACATGCAACACGCTGCTCCGTGAAATGATAATGATAATACCTTTTATTGTTTCGCAGCAGGGTGGATTTCAAAGACCTGTGCATAAATGAACGTAAGTAGTAAGAAGTAGTAGTCATTTCATAAGCACTGCTATTGAACACCATGCACCCCTTTCACTGTATACAATAACTTTGGTTTACCAACAATATTTATTGCAGGAAGGAACGTTGTAGTTGCAATGCCTTAAACATGTGTCACAGATTCAAGATTCAAACGTTTATTGTCATAACATGTTATACAAAACTATGGTGCAATTATGTAATGCACGAAAAACTTAGATCGCAGGCTCCTCAACAGTGCAATTTTGAAGACGTTAAAAAAAAGATGCACATCATAGCATGCTTTCAACCAAGAAACATACAAAAGCATATCGTGTTCTTAAAGGTCCTTTTTTTTTATCTTAAAAAACGGATGAAAGGCACTCGTGATAACTGTACTCAGGAACTATATGGTCTGGATTGACTCTGATTTCATCCCCAGAGATTGTTACTTCCTGCCGCAGTGTCATACAAAAATAAGTGGTTGCTTTTTCTTGCTTATGTAGACAACATAGCAACAGGTAAAAGTTAATCTTAGATGAAGTTTATGTAAAGTAGCGAGCCATAAAAAGCTGTATTACTCCGTGTCACAGTATTGGTCTGCTGGTTGCTCAGGGTCATACATCTCAGTGTCAAAGGCAGTATCTTCCCCAGGCTTTTAAACAGAGGCAGATGTAGCATGAGTGTACACACTTTATCAAACTAACAGCAACATTAAATCATGGACCTAAAAGGGCTTCATCTTCTGTTTCTCCTACTGCTGTCCCAAGGAATTCATCTTGCTCAAGGTAAGTGTATAATCTTGATTTTTCGAAAAAATATGTTTTCTAGTAATCACAAATATGTAAAAGCTAATTAGATGGATAGAAAAATATTGAGTTTGAAGGGATTTCCTCTTGCTTTAATAAAATGAGAGTAGTTTAACACCCTAAGAAATGATTGCATGTATAAAAATTGTGAGAATTATAGCTGTTTTAAAATAATTAAAACATACACATGATGATAACATGTCACCCTTCAACCCTAACCCTAAAGTAATAAAAGGTAATGTAATCATGCGAAGCTTTAGGAGTTCTATATTTTTCCAATACAAATACAATTTCTTTAATTTTTGTCACCTTATTCTACATTTCATAAAATACTGAACAGTGAATGCTGAAGTTATACAATGCACACTTCTCTGTGCTAATTCAGACATCATTTATCCATTTGAAATGATTGCCTGTTACTCCATGGGTCATGTGGTCTGCTGTTCATTCATGGTGAAGAATTGACCATCTTTTAATTGTAGAATCACATGTTTTAAGGTTCAAAAGTTGCATACAGTGTGGATACAGCTGTCATAAACACGGTAACTCATTTGTCACTGAACAGTAAATAAACTGTATTAAATGTGTAAATGATCTCTTTAACCCGAATCATGAAGGTCAAGCCCACACCATAATCATAAAAATATGACTGATGGCTGATGTTTTAACTTCATAGATCTGTCTTTGTATGTGTTCTCTGCAGGAAGTTGTGGCAGTGGAGAGTTTCAATGCACTTCTGGACAATGCATCAACAAAGCTTGGAGGTGTGATGGGACTAAAGACTGTGCAGATGACTCAGATGAGCTGAACTGTCGTGAGTTTCAATGATTTATAATTATCTGTTAACTGGGTAAATAAAGTTTGCCAGAAAAAAAAGAATGAGAAAGAAAAGGAGCTGTACATAAACTTAAAACTATGATTGAAAACAGCCCTATTCTTTAAGTTTAAACTCTTCAATGTTTTTCTTCTTTGTGGCAGCACCTCCATCATGCACCTCGCAGGAGTTTAAGTGTGTAACAAGCGGTGAATGCATCTCTTCGGGATTTGTCTGCGACGGAGAGGAAGATTGTATTGATGGATCAGATGAACAAAGAACTTGTGGTATGCAGAGTGATTGTTGATGTACCGTTATTTAGAATGAGAAACTGACACAATAAAAAAACAAATCACATGAACATTGGCTCAAAATACAGCATCTAATCATTTATATAATTCAAATGATGAAAGAGAAACATATTGTCCCAAAATTCCTATTAGTAGTTTGGTAATAAAAAAATGTATGTTTCTGATTTCATTTTTCCAATATTTGTGTTCATTGCTCTCCATGTCAGTGACAAAGATATTCTGGACAAACAAAAAATACCTTTAATTACATTCTATCCTAAGCATGTTGTCATTCTATAAATTGTGAGTAGTAATTTCCCTGTTACAAAGCATTTAGCAACCAAACCATCTCAAATGCTCTGGGTTCAGGTGGGCAGACCTGCAGCCCGGACCAGTTCACCTGCCAGGAGGGCCAGTGTGTCCCCAGCAAATACAGATGTGACCACGTAAAGGACTGCGTGGACAACTCTGATGAGAACAACTGCAGTAAGACTTTCAACACTGTACATTAATATCATATCAGATATTTGCAGGTACCTTTATATGTTCTTAATACTTTGATAGGAATCATTTTATTTGCAGCATTGAGCGAATTTAAAATCCCTTTTATGAAAATAATAAAACAAGGTTTTTTTGCAGACTATCCCCCTTGTACTGAGAAGACGTGTGCCAATGGGGCCTGTTACAACAACACTCAGCACTGCAATGGGCTGCAGGACTGTAGAGATGGCTCTGATGAATTCAACTGCAGTGAGTAGCTGAGACGTATCGCAAAACCCAACATTTAAATGATAAGATATATGTTCTGTTTTGTAGGCTTACCTCTAAAAAAAATTGTTGGGCATTAAATTACATTTAAAAAGAAAAGGACTTGTTATGCAAAGTATTTGTTTTAGATTATATGTTAAACATTGTGGAGAGATGTTGTAGCCTAATGTTATTGTTTAATAGGATAACAAAAATATGCCTGCTTCAAAATAAATGACCAGCCGGACCATAGAACCTGTGGGAATTAATCATAGTGTTATTAATAGAGTTAAATTGGTTATAATTTGGACCACAGCCAAACACAGATTTTTCAATGGAGGTGACTTGCTCATAAAAAAGATGATGTTAAAAATAAAAACATTTGTTATAATACTGTATAGCCTACCTATTTATCTTATTTTCTACCATAATTAATTTAACAATTGATTCACAAATGTCTTGTGGAGTGTACTGTAGGCTACATTACAGGAAGTAGGCAGTTACTTCCGGCCGCCATCTTTGTTTTGATTGAGCTAGCTAATATGTCGCAATAAATGAAAGGTTCAAATAGCTCTTAATTATTAAGCAGCGAAGTAATTTAATATCCCAGCTGAATACAAAAGGAATATTAAAATTCCGGGAATACATCTAAGACTGCCGTAAGTGTTGTCAAACGATTTTTTTCAAACATTAGCTCTGACTGACAGAAGCGTTTGAGAAGTTTGTCATTAACAATGAGGGGCACAAACTTGCGTTGGAATATGCTATATCTCAATGTAACGTTATGTTAAACTGTTCAATGTGAAATTCTTTCATCTAATGCTTATTAATTTTCTAAAATTGAACAATTATGTAGCTATTACTCTTGTTTTCATCTACGTTAACTTACGTTACAGGTGATTTTGCTAACGTTGCTAACGTTTATTAGCTCTAATAAAGCTAAACTTGTTCAACCTTTGATTAGCTTTTAGGTTTCCCTTTAGTCAGTTCAGTTGTGGGAAATGTTGCCAAGTACATTTACTCAAGTAATGTACTTAAGTACTATTTTGACATATTTGTACTTCAGTATTTTTATTGTATGCTACCTATACTTCTACTCCATCACCTCCTGGAGGAAAATATTGTACTTTTTACTCCACTACAATCCTTTAACACTCATATGATATTTGATACGATGCAGTACTGTACTATACATATATTTATTTATTTTACAAGTTTAATGGTGAGTGAATTGGCTCCACAATAAAATATATAAAAATGCTCCTCTATGTATTGATTACTTAGTTTTAAAAACAACCTAATATAGTGTTGTAGAATAACATAATTCTGGGAAAAGAGCAATTATTTATTCTGCATACTTTAAATTCTGAGTACTTCCTCCACCTCTGCCTTAAGTTTAGGTAGAGATGTTTGACTTCAATTGCTTGACCACTCACTTCTAAAATCAGTGTATTTGTTTAATTTCCAGCGACACAGCACTGTCCCATCCACCAGTATGAGTGTGCAAACGGCTACTGTATCCCTCGTCCGTTTGTCTGTGACCACTGGGATGACTGCGGGGACAACAGCGATGAGCAAGGCTGTGGTAAGGAAGGAAGTGTCTCCGTAGGATTTTAGTGTCACCTTAAATTGTAATACGTTGTAATGGTGTGTAGTTGCTGTTAAAAGACCATCCTTTTCGTTTAACTAAAAAGGGAGGAATTTAACTAAACTAAATTCAGTATTTGCTTACTGGTCTAATTCTAAACAGCATTTCAATATGCATTGTAGAGCTATACAACATATACGATATAATTGTGAAATTAAAGTATGATAGGCCCCTGTTTTGAGTTGTTTTAGGTATGTAAAGATGAGTTAAAAATCTGTTATTTCTCTCTGTTTTCTTAAGCGTACCAGAGCTGTAGTGGCGGTGAGTTCACATGTTCGAGTGGCCGCTGTATTCCTCAGCGCTGGGTGTGTGACGAGTTCAACGACTGTGGGGACTTCAGTGATGAGAGAGGATGTGGTAAGAACCCATTTTTCTTACAGATGGACTAAGAGTATGAACTAGAAATTCAGTTAATAACCATATATATAGGTATTGCTGAGGAGTGTCATTCAACAATGAATAAAACGCTATGAGAAAGAAAGGACAAATGATTACTTGAACTGAATACTGGAAGATTACATTTAAAAAACATGTTATGAGAAGAATTAAAACATGACAAGACTAGCCTATTCATGGTAAGTTCAAATTGATCGAATAGAAAATTGCTTTTAACATTAAAAAAAAAAAGGTTGAGAAAGAAAGAAAAACATTTACAGTTCATATTTTAATCACATCTGTTTCTGTTTTTTAGATAGTAACTCTCGATCCTGTTACCCTGGCGAGTGGGGATGCCCGGGCTCGACATTGTGTATACCAGTGGGCAAAGTGTGTGACGAAAAACCTGACTGTCCTGGAGGAACCGATGAGACCAACGCCACAGCACAGCAAACCTGCAGTAAGTCATTAATGATTAACATGTGTTTAACATAACAACCTTAACATCCCACAGTAAACCTCAGAAAACTTGCTTTGTTTGCTTATTTGTACTTGTCTTTATGAGGACAGTGAAAAAACCCTGACCAAAATTACTCTGAATTACTGTTTAGTCAACGGCAGACATCTAGTCACATGTAAAACATCTGACATTTGCAACACTTTAATACGGGTTTTAGGCTTCATACTCATAAATGATTCTCAGAAGTCAGCTGATAGGATGCTTTAGCCTTCCTTATCGCTGCCTTCACACTCACCTGGTTTAAGATTAACTTTTTTTTCAGGTCATTTGGGCCTCCAGACTCAGTTCATGATGGCTATAATGCTGATCACAAAACTGATAATGATGCTCTTGAAGATAACGCTGCATAGATCAGCATCCCAAATAAAAACTTCATTTGCAACCTAGATTCAACCGTTATGTTGATTTTTATGTATTTTGCTTACAGGCCTTGACCAATGCTCTGCCTTGAGTTGTGAGTACCTGTGCCACCCGTCTCCTCAGGGGGGGGCCTGCTACTGCCCTGATGGTTTCACTGTAGCCAACGACAGCCGTTCCTGTGTAGGTGTGTACCATATATCGTTTTTTGTTGTTGTAAACAAATGATATATTCATTAAACATACTGTACTGTAACAATAGAGCACTTGAGGTGATTGATGGAGATGGATTTGTTTTGGTTAATTCCTCAGATCTCCTCACATTGTTGCATATCATATTCTGATATATGTTTTTATTTTAGTTTACGACATATACTACACCTTAATTGTAAAATGTCAGCTTGTTTTGATGAACTTAGGACAGAGCTTTCGTAATTTTAACCTTAGAGATGTCTAATTTAACGATACTCAGGTTGCAGATTTCTGGTATATATCTCACCCTAATTCCTAAAATGGTTGTTTTATTGCCCCAGACTATAATGACTGTCAAATCTGGGGGATCTGTGACCAGCTGTGTGAAGATCGTCCTGGAACACACCACTGTAGCTGTGCTGATGGATACTTCTTGGAGCAGGGTCACGTGTGCAAAGCCAATGTGTCAGGTACAGAGAGTCAAAGAGTAGCTTCATACGATGTGTGTCTGCTGGAACATAATCTGTGGGCTGTTTTAAAGGTCCATATGACATAGTTGAGGAGACAATACTTAAATGTATATTTTGTAAAATCATATCAAATATCTAACAGGACTTGATGAAAACGAATTAGCTGCTGAGGTATTCTTTGCATTTTTCTTCAGCTGGATTGCCACAGCTCATTTTCACCAACGGGGGTGATGTGATGATGGCGGATATACATGGACGTTTTGTCAGAACTCTGGTGCCGTCCCAGGGCAAAGGTTATGCTGTAGGTGTGGCATATCACTGGCACAGCGACACAGTCTTCTGGAGTGATACAAACACCAAAAAGGTCTGTCAATCTGGATTATTGTCTGTCAGTGCATTTTCCCCTCAATTTCTTCACACCTTCTTTTGTATGATTGCAAAACAGCTACACTGCAAAGCTCTGGGGGCCCAAAATGATTTTCATGTCAACAAAAGCCCCTCATCTTAAAACATTAAATCATTCTTTTGCCAGGTGTACTCTGCGAACTACAATGGGGGGAACATTAAGGAGGTTCTGACTGCTGCAGTCCAGAATGTACAGAACCTCGCTTTGGACTGGATCAACTTCAAACTCTACGTCCTCGAGGCTATGATGGAGCGTATCGACATGTGCGACTTTGATGGAGGGAATCGGGTCACACTGGTGGCTGAAAACCTGCAGACTCCTCACGGCCTGGTCCTGGACCCCACAGTGGGGTGTGTTTAAGTGCTTTGGTATTTAAAAGCTGTTACCAAAGCTGTTGAGAACGGCATGCATGGCAAACCATATCACACATGATTTCATGAGCTGCATGTTAATAACAACTGGTTTTAGTATGATAACGCAATGCTATCTAACAAAGCATGTCATTTATATCATTATTTCTTTTTCTTAGATTGAGTGAAACTTAAATATTGGAGTGTGTAAATATTGGTCCAACACTGTGTCTGTCATTTGTCTGGGATGACATGTTTCCTTATTATTGAATCTTAGTTATTTACGGTCAAATACAAGAAGTAAAGCAGTGGCTACTTTACAAGAGATCCCTTTTTAGAACTCCATCATTTTTATTTTACCAAGAGTTTTTGTACCCACTTCACTTGATTTATATTTCTTTATTCCTTTTTGTTTGCAGCTACATGTTCTTCACAGACATGGGCGTTTCCAGTGAGCAGATGAAGCTCGAACGCGCCTTCATGGACGGCAGTAATCGTATTGAGCTGGTGAAGAAGGGACTGGGCATTCCAACAGGAATCACCTTAGATATCGTGACTCAGAGGGTCTACTGGTCCGACAGCCACTTTGACACGGTGGAGACCGTCACCTACAGCGGCCTGGACAGGTAAAGGTTGCACAGAAAATGTTGTCAGTCACCACCTTGAACTTGGGACATTTCACCCCAAAATCATAAGTGCATATTTTTCCTGTTTCCCGTAGTGCTTTTTATCAATCTAGATTGCTTAGTGAGTTGCACAGTATTAGAGATGGCTCAGAGATGTCTGCTTTCTCTCAAATATGATGGAACTACATTGTACTTTCCTTGTGGTGCTGAATTCACCAAAAACATTTGAAAAACTCACAGAAATGTCCCTTATTAAGAAATGACGACCCAGCTACTCTAGAGAATCCACAGACCTTGTTGTGCAGTTTCATGTAAGAACTATTTAACTATTTTCTTTCTTCTGAACTATACCCGCCAATGAATAAACATGAGCTTCTCGTCTATAAGTAAAGCTTCCTTCTGCTCTGTTCAATGCTGAGTGGACGTATTTCTGTAGAAAAAATAGTTCCTACTTGAAAAGGCTCACAACAAGGTCCGTTGATTATCTTGAGTAACCAAGTCTTGATTACATCCACTTGTAGACGTAGACATATCTTAGGCGAACAGCTCCAACATGCACAAAAAAAAAATCTAGATTGACAAATAGCACTGCAGGTAAAAGAAAAATATGTATCTTTGATTTTGGGATAAACTGTCCCTTTTAGTTACAAAATAAAACACTGAGACCATGCTGTAATCTCCTTGATGTTGTTTCCCAGGAAAATGGTACTAAATGGTGCAACCCAGGCTCCACATCCTTTTGGAATTGCTGTGTTTGAAAACAACGTGTTCTTCACGGACTGGACCAAGATGGGTGTGGTTAGAGCCAACCGGTTCAACGGCAGCAACCCAGCTCTCCTCTATCGCACTGCCAAGCGCCCCGGCCATGTTGTAGTGTCACACCCTGCCCTGCAACCCGTTGGTAATGCACGCAACCTATAACGAGAATTCCTACTTAACAATTGAAACTGTTATTTTAAAGGTCCCCTATTACACTGTTTTTCATCAATATATATACAAATCATGTCTCTAAAGTGTTTGGCTCCAAATACCAAACAGATCATGCATTGCAGCATCCCATAATCCCCTCTGTTTCAGCCCTGTTTCAAAAGTGCTGATTCTCTGTCTGTTACTTTAGATGAAAATAAGGAGCCCCTCCCCACGCCCCTCTGAGAGATATTTGTTTAAAAAGAACACAATGGTGCTCTAGGAGGACATTCAGGTGATAAGGTGTGTGGGGGGGGGGGGTTACCTTGGTTGGTGATTGGCTAATGTTTACACAAGCCAAAAAAATCGTTATGACATCATAAAGTGGCCAAAATCTGATCAGCTCATTTTCAGACAGGTTTTTATAGAAATGCATCTGGACGAAAAGAGAACGAATATTTTTTCTTGAAACTTTCCGAATCTCTTTACACAGAGGGGACACATGTTTATTTATAAAAGACATGAAAAAGTGGAATTTGCATAATAGGTGACCTTTAAATTGGGAAGTAGGAGTTGAT